TAGCCCGGGCTTTTATTTTCCCAAATCGTCGAACTGCACCGGCTTGTATTTGAGACAGGCGTTTATATGAGACAGGCCTTTATAATTTAGTGTTGAGATGTTGTTCATTGAGTGTATAGGCCTGTCTCTAATCTCTAAAAAATCTCCAAATGCTCCACGTGAAACTGCGGTCTTCCGACCTTTTACTATCGCGTCAATTGATTTTGATTAATATGCGCGAGGGAGAGAGAGCAAGACAGCGCTCGTGTTGTTTGAAGACGTGAGAGTGCGCGCGCGCGGCTGGGGCGCTCTCTCTCTCTCTCTCTCTCTCTCTGCTCGTAACGCGCCCTGTCAAGCGCAGCAGTCATTCTATTCTACATCACTCATCGATCAAAAAAGGCTTTGGAGGGACAAAAATTTGCTTTGGCGGGCGCCAAAAAGCGGACGATCTGACGGTTTTAGAGGATTAAATACAACCCGAAACTAAAAAACAGACCCGGCCTCTATTTGAGACCGGCCTTTATTTACCCAAACCTGCAGCCACACCAGGCGTGTAAAATAGACAGGCGTCTATTTGGGACTCGGCTATTATTAGAAGTTTTACGGTATATTGGCCACAATTAACGGCACCCATTTATTCAATACTTATAGCCGAGATAACAGCTCTGGTTGGTCTCCTATAATGCCGGATGAGTTTGGAGATCAGAGATGCTTCAGATTCCCAGATCCATGTGGATTCCCTCTCCTCTTCAGTCTTCTAGGCTTCGGCTCAGGAACTGGGATGGCCGTGGCAGAAGCTGCATTTTCTGACCCATGTTTGTGTTGATTTTGGATCCAAGGTTTCCAGCAGAGGCCGTCAGGTTTTGATTTTGTATCCGTTGATATTTGCTAGAATCCATGATCCGTGTGTCTGAAGAAGTCCAGGACCTCCAGCAGAAAAACAGGCCCGCAACATTAGAGATCCAGCGGTGTGTTTAACCGTACATGCGGGACTTTATCCCTGTTTGCACTAGGGCTGTGTTGAAAAAATCGATTCACCAATTCTGAATCGATTTTCATATTAATTTCTAAAGATCGATCCGTAACTCAGAGGATTTTACATTTTCCCCGTGAACTTTAACTTGCCGCGACTAGGAGATCCCTGTATGCGCATTGAAAGGCTTTCACTCAGCGCGCACTGTTACAACAACGGGCTTTGAGTGAGTCATTCGTTCATTCAACGAACACGTTCAAAAAAGCTGAATCATTTAAAGAGATGTAGGTAATGAAACAAGGTGTTAATTATTTTTAACTTTGAGTTCCACTTTTCAAGGCTCAGCTGAGCAGCAATGCGTCGCATGGGTAACACTGAAGCTGATGCTTCACTTATTAGAGACCAATATGGCATTGATTCAATGCGTGACTTGCTGATTTTATTTCCCCGCGGCTTCCTCGCGTGTGGAATGCTGACCAGCACTGCTGCTGACGCGCATTTATGGTAAATACCTGTGACGTGAACGTTAAAAGGATGATACGACAAATATTTCGCTTTCCTTTGACACGGCAACCTTTTTCCACGAATACATATGACTTCAAAGACAGACGCAGGTAACCCGCACGCGCTCTGCCGATCTCTCTCATTCACTGTCTGTGCGAAGCCTCTGTAGGCTACACATCACCACGATAAACAGTCTTGTTTGTTATCATAATGAACTTGTTTAACATTCAATACACATACATGAAGTTCAAAACAAGAAGGGTATAGCCTTATAAAAAAACGTGAATATCGCGGTCGCTACGGTTACTTGCAATCCTCTGCGGTTGACTTGTCAGTAGCGCGGTACTACAAGATTGCGGTAATCGCGACAGCCCTAACTGCTGCTGATATACCTCTGCGTCCTCTGTCGTCTACACCAGTGCAAGGTTGTGAAAGCAGTTGTATCAACACTCTGGAAGGGGGATTGTTCTTTACAACCATCAATACTCCATTAATTTGCAGTTAAATGTCTATAATAGCCTAATAGTATCAATATGTTGCATAACTACAGTCCTGTAATTCAGGTAACAGCTGGAAAAAACAAAAACACTTATCTAAATCTCAAAAATCGGATCGGATCGGATCGAATCGAATAATTATAATCGATTCAAGATCTTGAGAATCGGAATCGAATCGATTCTTGAAATTTGAATCGAAACCCAGCTCTAGTTTGCACACACACATCTGGAGGGTTCGCTGCCAGAAAGCTCTTCTTTTAGTTTCATCTGACCACAGAATCCCGTCTGAAGTTCCAGTCGTGTCCGACAACCGAATATGCTGGAGTTTGTGGATGATTGTTCTTGAAACCCTCCCGAATAACATGTGCTGATGTACAGTAGAAGCGGTTTGATATATTTGAGGATTTCTGACCTCAGGACGCACTAATATCTGCAATTCTCCAAGTGTGATCCTCAGAGAGTGTTTGTCCACTCAAACTCCTGCATTAAGACGACAGACACACGTCTTCTTCAGGAAGATTTAGTTGATTGGAACTTCTTAATTATTGCCCTGATGGAGGGAACGGGGATTTTTCAATCTTTAGCTGTTTTCTTACAGACACTCTCTATTTGTGAAGCTCAACTATCTTTTGCTGCACATCAGAACTATATTCTGTGGTTTTATTCATTGTGAAGGATGATTAAGGGAATTTGGCCTTTGTGTTTCCTCATATTTATAGTTCTGTGAAATAAGAAGTCATGTAGACATTTTTATGTTCTGGTGTGCTAGCCTAAATATGTAAATATGAATGGGAATATATCTCAGAGATATTTTACCCATAATAATTTTTAGAGGTGCCAACAATTGTGGACAACGTGTTTTGGAGAAAAACATGTATTTCATAACGTGATTTTCCCCCACATTCATCAGTTTTACTTCAATGAAAGGTTTTATTTTTGTGATTTTTTTTTTTAAATGAAAGATCAAAATGATAAACATTACAGATTTATTTTCACAGCCTTATTTTGATCATATTTATCAGGTGCCAATAATTCTGACCACGACTGTATATAGGGTGAATTTAGGTCGATGACAATGGACAATTTGGGGCAATGGCATACAGTATATTTTAAATTGTGTCTTCATAATTTAACATATCAACAAGTTGATGATATTTAGATCAAACTGAAGATTTAAAGGGGTCATATAATGATACATGCACTTTTACAAATGTGTGTTGGCAGTGTCTGTAGTGGGGAGTGGCAGTGGGGGGGGGGGGATTTTGGATACATTTTTGTCATTGGTTGTTGCGTTAAATCTTACCCAGATACAATAGTGCTATTTTCTGATTAACTATTGTGTAGCTCGACGAACAGCACCAGAGGAAACGCGCTTGATTCATGCCGGTTCCACAGTGAGAGCGGCGCGGCCAGAGTTTTAAACGCTGCGGCATATTAAATATAATATATTAATCTTTGCAAATCACGAAAAAAAGTTTTTCATGACCATTAGTTGTAACATCAATCTGTCAATGAACTAACGTATACATCAGTAAACACACAGCATTCGTATCTCACTACTCTACCCTGCCAGTACATACAAAGATAGATCAAAGTGACATTACGTTAACCAACCATTCAGAACCTTAATTGTCGAACTTCTTCGGGGCCGTCATCTTGTTCCGACTCCGGTTCAAACTGATACGGTTGCACTGCACAGATGTGTCCTCAGTGACTCCCGCTGCCATTCTCTCTCCAAAACATCCCCTCAACTGTTGTCAAGGCAACACTCCACGTGCGTTGTGTCTAAACGCCCACAGAACAGAGGGGCGGAGTCAGCAAAGCTCATTATCATTTAAAGACACATGCACTGAAATGGCGTGCTGAAAACAGAGCTGTTTTTGACCAGGTAAAATGAGTGTTTTCTTACAATTCTAATGAGAATTTTTAATTAAAGTATATTACAAACTTTTTATTTAGACCCTAAAGAATCATATTAACTTGTATAAAAATGGCATTATATGACCCCTTTAATGGACAACCTGAAATAATATAAACTGGTCAGATAAACCTGAAGCCACAGGAGGAGCGCTGGAGCATGAAATCAGCTCAACACGTTACTCATCATGTGACGGTGAAGCGTGAACGTGAAGTCAGGAGTGAACCGAACAGAACAGTGAAGCGGATCGAGACGGGATCAGTGGTGACTGATGATGACCAACACAACAGAACCAAACCCAAAACACACATGAGATCTCCTCAATATCTCAGATGTTTCTCCAGACATCTGTGCCATTCGATTGAGAGTTTATCAGATCAAGACCTCAGTAATCTCATTTACACCCCGCTAAATACTGACATTCAAGACATGTGGAGCTACAAAAAATGTGTACCCTAAAATCACAAGGGGAAAAAATTATAAGAAATTATATTTTGCATGAATAAAATGCATCTCACAATGAAAACCATGAAGATAGTTTTGTATTAAGACATTAATTTTATGATATTATAGTATAATGTGTTCATGTATTAGTTTAATTGTAAATATATTTTCATTAATAATTAAAATTATTAATGTAATGTGTCTGGTCTCTTATTTTTATTATTCAAATAAATAATAAATAATAAAAAGCTAAATAATAATTAAAGAAAATAATATTTAAGATTGTTATATATTAATTAAAAAAATAAAACACAAATAGCATAAAGCAAATAATATATATATATAAAAAAAAAATTTGCATTACAGTGATAAGAATTTAGGGCATACATATAGGGCATATATTTTTTCATTCAAAGTACATTTTCTTATTTTTCCTTTGGTCCTGAAGTGAAATATGAGTGGGACATTTTCTTGACACATTTAACATCTAAAATCATTCAGCCATTTGTGATCACGTATGATGTGACACGACATGAAAGGTAGAAAGTGAGAGAGAGAATGAGAGAGGGAGAGAGAGAGGGAGAGAGAGAGAGAAGAACAGAGAGAGAAAACACCAATGTTGTGGCTATGAGGGACTCTTTGTGTCTCTCTCTCTCATTCTCTCTCTCTCTCTGTTCCTCTCTCTCTCTGTTCCTCTCTCTCTTCACGTCGACTCGTTCCTGATTTCTGTGTTAACTCTGGATCTGTAAGGATGAACTCTGTAAACGTCAGGAAACCTGCTGTGAAAATCCCATGAGGAACTGAAGACACTTCATCCAGGAATTAAACGCACCAGATCGTCATGGATCTTTCATTTATGGCTGCGCAGGTATGAGATGTTTGACATTATGTTTTAAAGATGCAAGCTTTATATGCACATCATCCGGTTCACTTTGAAACGGTGCCGTGTGAGAGTTTCGAGCTCATAGATCCTCAGCATCCGCTCAGATGATCCCTGATCTTATGACAGCTCTTCATGTCTCATGTGCAATTAACCACTCGTTTACTTTACTGTGTGTGTGTGTGTGTGTGTGTGTGAATGTGAGTGAATGTTTCAGTGTGTGTGTGTGTGTGTGTGTGTGTGTGTGTGTGTGAGAGTGAATGTTTCAGTGTGTGTGTGTGTGTGTGTGTGTGTGTGTGTGTGTGTGTGAATGTGTCTGTGTGTGCGTGTGAATGTGTGTGTGTGAATGTGAGTGTGTGTGAATGTGAGTGTGTGTAAATGTGAGTGAATGTGTCACTGTGTGTGTGTGTGTGCGTGTGAATGTGAGTGTCTGTGAATGTGAGGGAATGTGAGTGTGTGTGTGTGTGTGTGTGTGTGCGTGTGTGTGTGTGTGTGTGTGTCTGTGTGTCTGTGTGTGTCTGCGGGTGCGTGTGCGTGTGTGTGTCTGCGTGTGCGTGTGTGTGAATGTGAGTGTGTGTGTGTGTATGTGAGTGAATGTGTCAGTGTGTGTGTGTGTGTGTGTGTGTGTGTGTGTGTGTGTGTGTGTGTGTGTGTGTGTGTGTGTGTGTGTGTGTGTGTGTGTGTGTGTGTGTGTGTGTGTGTGTGAGAGAGAGAGACATTGTCAAGACGATCTGCTGAAGTTCCATCTGAGCATCAGAATGGGGAAGACAATTTTATTTAAAATAATATCAAAATGGTGGGAAAAAATCTAAAAAAAATATATATGTTATATGAACATTATAAATGCTAAAACTAAACAATACATAAATAAAAAATAAATTGATTTATGTTCTGGGTCAGACTATATCACAGTCTTCCTCACTGAAATAAGTGAATTTGTTCTTTCAACAGTTGAACCGGTTCTGTATGTGAACTCACTTTATGTGTTATTCGATGAACTTAAACGTTAAAGTGATTTGTCCTCATCCATCACAGTGAAAACAGAACGTGTGAACGAATAAACACTCACTTGTGTCACGGAAGAAGAAAAATGCTCATTTAGACACTTCAGGCGTTCAGACTGTAAGAGAGACGTGAGACTGATAGTTGATCATCTAGTCGCTGAACAAATGCTCCTATTTTTCTTCCGGTGACTTTTTGAATGTGACGATAACACAAGAGTGATAGCAAATGAGCGTGGCACACACACTCCATTCCTGGAGGAAAAATGAATTATGAACCGAACGCTGTGATAAACGCTATTGTTCACAAACTCTTTGAGACGGGCACAAATAAACAGGACTCCCATGAGGCCGTTCAGCAACACAAGCGGACAGCAGGTGCTGAGTAATCACAACTCTCCAACAGCATCACTCAGAGAGCGTCTCGCGGCGGCCCGCGCTCACGTTTCACACGGCAGGAGTGCATCTCGCTGTCAGCTCGGCCCCGGCGGGCCCCGGCGGGCGTCAGCGGGCACCAGCGACCCTCAGTGCCACTCTCCTGCGGCACACTACACCATCACTCGTTCACACTTTCATCAGAAAGTGTCTGCTAAATAACAGCATGAGGGTGTGAAGGCATAGACAACTATCACAGGCGCAGGATTGCCAACAAAAGATTAGTGTTTCACAACAAAATGCGATTTCAGTCTTTCTGCTACAAAATGGCATGTTTAATTATTTGGGAAATTTAAAAAGCAATCTCTTAACAAAGTGTTATTTTAGTATTATTTTTTTATTTACTAGTTTGTATTGCTATTTTGAATCAGGGTTTATTTTTATATTTTCCGTTTTATTCTAATTGGTTTTTTTTGGGGGGGAGGGGGGGGGTGTGATTATTTTTTTTGTCGTTTTTTTATTAGTTTAAAAAAAATACTATTTAATTACATTTAAAGTTCCATTTATTTTTGTTTCAGTTTCAATTTGTATTTATTTCCAGTTAGTAATTTGAATGCTTCAACTTAAACTTATTACATTTATTTAGGTTAAATTTATTTTTATTTCAGTTTTAATTTTTATTTATTTTTATTTAGCAATTTTAGTGATTCAACTAAAAATTATTACATTTATTTAGCGTAAATTTATTTATATTTCACCTTTATTTTATTTATTTATTCATGGTTAGAAATTGTTGTGCTTAAAATTATTTTATTTATTTTGCTTAAATATTTCTATTTCAGTTTTAATTTGTATTGCTTTCTAGGTAGTGCTTCAACTGAAAGCTTTTATTCATTTATAGGTTAAATATATACATTTCAGTGCTCATTCAACTTAAACTTATAGCAACATTTCAGCATTTCTAAATTTCATTTAGTTTAAGTTTTTCAACTAATATTTATATTTTATTTTATTTCAGCTTTATTTCAATACCAAAAATAGTTTATTTTTTGGCAAACGATAATAATCGTTGCAGTGACTATCTGAAATATCTGGACACTTATATTCATATTAATATTATAAATATTATGTTTCAATTGCAAAGTGTGTTCATGCTTCCAAGTGAGTAAATGATCTAATGCAATGGCATTCATACATTATTAATTCGCCTTGGGCTCACTGTACAGTGTACAGTAATGTAGGGGTCATGTAAACTGATGCATTTCATGCTGTCAAGTTTATTTATGAGCTGACCATGAATCCAGCGCTGGAAAAATGAGAACGGAGTGCCTCGAGAACAGGACTTGCTTGCTTTAGTAATTTATGAATGTATTTCAGTGGCGTGATGTTTGAGACTGTTTACTTCGAGCTAAAACCACCTGAGGTTTGATCTTACATCTCAAGAGGAGCGAACATACATTACATAAGCACTCAAGACTCCTCATTTATACTTTATTTACCTTGAAGCTCGTATCACAAACACAACAGTAACAAATGACATGTAAATACCATGGTAAATACATTTTTAAACAGATTTTAAAAATCAGTATATTTTCATCTCTGAGGTTTTTGTTGTTGTTTTTTACCCCAGAAGATTTTTGGTTTATGGGTTTATTAAGGTAAACTTACACGTTTTTAAGACCAATAACGTCAATTTAAGGAATTAACTGAATGAAAACACAATATATGTCAATAAGTTATATAAATGTAAACGTCTATGGAGAAACACAATGAGTCTTGTTCTCAGTGAAATTGGTCAAAGTGGAGCGAGTTTGTGATTAAAACAAGAAAAATATCTGGCAAAGAGCTAAAAAAAACAGCTTTAACCCATTTGTGCCGGATGCTGCGTGCCGAAACATTATATCTACCGCCGGTTACTGCGTTGCGCAACTCTGAACCTCCTGCCGGCTGCTGCGTGGCGCAGCATTTTGTATTCGTCATCCTTTTCATGACGCTTGCAGCATAGAATTTGTCATTGGTTCAAATACACATGAGGTGGGTCTTGTTGATTTTTTAAAGACCGCGTGACCACCCAAATGTACTGTAGTTCGCTAAAAATCACGTCAATCAATCAGCTATACACGTGCATTTGTTTGGGATTTTTTTTGGAGACGCGAGCGAGAAAATGGCAACGACAGAGGCGTGTGCAAAGGCAAGAATACCGAAGGCAAGACACAGCCCGACAAATTAAGCGTCTGGGACTTACTTTCACTTTGATTTGCGATAGTTTGCGGCGCATTGGCTTGATGAATAGATGCTCAGCTGCTCATCTGAGGTGATGCGTCGTGTCGCAGTAGCGTCGTCATATCTGACTATAACATGACATATAGCCTATAACACGCTCTCACACGTTTATCTTTTAGCATTTTTGGGAGGAGTAAAATTTACTTATGTGGTTTCAACCATCAGATGCATTTACACTTGTCCAGTTTCGTCTGGAATGCGGCCCAGACCTCCTCCTGAAGTGGTTTGAGCGATCGGATTCAAATCCGTCTCGGAGGGCATTTACACCTGGTCTTTTCACGATCGGATAGCTATCCGATCACAGAAAACGCGTGAAGTGGCCAGGTGTAAACAGCCCCACACACACCGCGCGCGCCGAACAGACGCGCGGTCACCAACTCGAAGTGGAACCCTGTCTCCAAAACGGAGATGAAGACATTTGTCGGGCTGTGTCTTGCCTTCGGTATTTTGAAGCTGCCAGCACGCAGGGATTTCTGGAGGCCATGGCAAGGGACCGCTTCGACATGATCTGGAGGTAATTATTTGTGTTTTGTTTTTATAATGAATAACTAGCATAATAAATTGTAATATAATTATGTGATGATGGTTGATAATGATAATACTAAATACAATAATGTTAATATAAATACAATACTGGCATAATGAATAAATAGCATAATAAATAGTCATATAATTATGGCATAATGAATAAATATAAATACTATAAATATACATAAATAACATAATACATATGAATAAATAAATACAATGATGGCAATAAATGTTATGTTAGAAATTATTTTTATCATATGCATTTTCAGATATCTCCAAGATAACATCGATGCATGAGCCAGAGATGTGAGCCATGGAGCTCAGAGACTGTTCCCAGTTCCACCTCAGGACTTTCCCCACCTCTCTCTCATAACAAGAATCCTTGTTCAGTGTGTTGGCATGTTTAAAATGTTATTTGTTTTATTTTATATAATTGATTTATATTTTTTTTCTTCCCCATATGATTTTGAGAATTTCTAGAAAAATGTGTTGTTATGTTAGTGCTAAGGGAGCATGTCTTAATAAAACCTGTGATTCTTACCTTTAAGATGTATTTTATTTCATGTTTCTAAGTACTACAGAGGCTGAGATATTAAGGTTTTGGTAGACGTTGACAATTCGAAGTATTTTTTCAGAAAACCCTCAGGAGATAAGGATATTTATCCTAGAATAACATAGGTTTTTATAGGCGTTTTTAGCAGGCGTTTTAGGAGTAATTAATCAAAGGGAAGTTTTCATTACTCATTAACAGATTCATATACTGTATTTGTTCATGTTTTAAACATAACCGCACACAAT